AAAGACTGTTTTCATTATCTTTTCATACATTTCTTACTTCCTTTCTCACTTTTTCTTTTTCTCGTACATGAGTTATCCCTTCTTTCAACATCACATTTAACTCTCAGCAATTTGGCTGATTTCTAAACCAAAGAATATGTCGTTGTGGTTTCGCTGCTTCTTTTTTTGGCTTTTCATTCATTCTGATCTTCCTTTCGGGCTGAGCAAGACCTGAGGAGGAGGCAATTGAATAAAGCAGCAAGTTTCGAATCTGCTTTCTGGGAAATCTTTAAATCAGCCGCACAGAGGTTGGTGAAATCATCTGGACAGTTTGCTAACTAACCTTTAATCTCAAAATAAGCACATAAAATGGGCTTTTTATTAACCATGTGGACCCTGAAACACGAACCCAAAAAGAATAAAACGATTTAAAAAGCTTAATTTTTTCCTTTTGTCCTGTTCAGCATTATGGTAACGATTTGAAAAACTTAATTATATTTACTGAAAGGGAAAAAATTAGATCCTCCTCCTCCTTTGAACACTGCTCTTAGAAGAGTTATGCGTTCTTTTACCCTTCACAAAAATATCTGCGTCCACCCGGTGGTGTCGTTTTTTGGGGAACGTGCCACAAATGTTTACATGTGAGGTATACAGCACCTAATGATCCCGTTTCCAGATGCTGACACGCTCAACAGTCCCCTCCTATTTATGTAAACACGCCATGTGTGCCGGCAAACACTACGGCGGGTCGCCGGCTGCATACGAATAAGATGCGGAAACACAAAGACTCATATGGGACGCCTAAACAAAGACGTGGAAGGATGGAGACGAGCCGAGGAGCCCAGCTGGAAAGCGGATGGGCACCTGAAGGTTAATTTGCAGATTTGCTCCTGAGAGTCGAACAAACAACAGCTGCTTCTGTTTGATTCCGACTCTCTCCGCTCGCAGGGAAAAAAGATAAATAGAGCCTTCTGTTTCATCATCGTAGGATTCTAAAAACGGGAGGAAAAAAACTGATCTGATGATAATCCCAGGTGTCAAAGTGTGGTATATCAATTAAACTATGACAGAGGGAAGTTATCATTTTTTTGGGGGCATGGTTTGGATAGTTGTGTAATGTAAATGAACACAGAACCATCCAGTAAAAGACCCTATTAACTAACTACTATTACTATTATTTTGCCACATGACTGCCAAAATAATTCATAAAAGTCAACAATGGGGAAAGAAGGGAAAAAATGAATCAATAATAAAAGTCAACAATGCATTACTGGACTATAAACATATTTCTGTAGACTATTTTAACCCTTGTGTAATGTTCATATTGTTGTTGCTCAGCCAGCTAACATCTTATATGTAATAGAAATGTGTAGGGGGGGGGTGTACGATGTGTGGTCATTAATTATGTATTCTGATATATGTTCTTCACAGAAAATGAGCCAAAGCCAGTGGAGTTTCAGTTTGAAAAATTAACTCATTGTATAATTTTTCTTTTAATAAAAAATGAAAACGGGTCACTTAGACCCAAACATCACACAAGGGTTAAATTACTACATATATTTAACCCCAAAATAATATGTATATGTAAAATATATGTGTAAGATACTAAAGTTTTGAGTCTTTACTTGACTTTCTGTCAGTCTCCTACATTATTTAAGTCAAATTAGTACCAATTAGTATCAAACAACAGTACTACAAGAGCACACCATAGCAGAACAAGCACTTGACAAATAGTAAAATTGAGTGTTGTATTTCATACTGTTCCTTTCCAAAATAATACCTAATATAGCTTCAAATGCTTAACTGTATATGTAAACTGTTGATTCTGATAAGGGAATTAAATCATTATTGTGGAATTGTACTAATTTTACGACTTTTAACTTGAATGCATGTACTGGGTTAGGCAGGGAAATCTACTGGCACACCGGCCCCACCAAGATTTTTTTTTCACCAGCCGCCACTGCTGTATATCCAAAGTTTCTATTCACAATCCATGCCAAACAATTATTAAAAGCGCCCAACAAAAGCCAGAGGTCTGAGGCAAACACAAAGTTGATTTGCGGTCATATTTGCTGTGCGGTTCTCGTGGAGGAAGGCCTCCATTCAAAAGCGGTTTGATATTCATAAACTCAGCAGATTGGTTAAGCATTGGCAAGAAAAAACCCATTTTCTCTTTGATGTCTCGGGCAGATTATCATAACAGACTCGGGGGAGGCGAGCCAGGGGAGAGAAACTGCCAGTTCCCCTCAACCAGATGAGCAAACCAGACCAGAGCCACTCACCAGGTGCTGCTAAATGATTGGCTGTCATAGAGACACGTGGGGGGGGGGTTTAGGGCCGGACACACCCCGGCTGGTCTTATTGTGTGTGACCTCCCGCCGTACATCACTTGTGTGTGTGAGGAGTGTGTGTGTGAGGAGTCGGGCAGGCTGTCTGGTGTTTCGGGCATATGCCCCGTTCAATGGGATGAAAGGGCATCAACTGAGCGCGTGCAAAAAAAAAAATGGTGGCCAATATGTGAACCGCTTAATGTCGGAAAGGCTTCGGAGCAGGGCATGTTACCAACATTTTAACCTCAGGTTGGGGTAGAGTACCTTTTTACCTTTTTATTTATTTTTTATTTATTTATTATTTTATTTTACATTAAAATCACATATACATCTAAATTATGTTAGCTTTTTATGTTTATTTTTTACCTCTACAGCACTTTGGCAACTTTGTTTTTTTTTTAAATGTGCTCTATAAATAAAGTTTGACTTGACTTGACCAAACAGACACAGCCTCTGCCTGCTCGGAAAAGACGGCATAGTGATTTAAAAGGCTTTGAGTTAGCAAATTTTTTCCAGAGTAACCTTACCGATGGCACGGTGGCCATATTGGATTTAAAGATCACAAGGAAATGGGAACTATAAAAGCCCAGCAAAAAAAATAACTGGTTCTATGTGATCTTCAGCATGAGAGGATCAATTTCATTTGATGATATAGTTCATGTTGGCACTTTAAATTATCTATTTTTTTGTGATTCACTGTTTTTGTATTTAAGAACAAATTCCCAAGCTGGGAAACAGGAACATTACAAAGTCAGTGATCAATACCCACCCGCCCCACCCCGACCTTAGATACAAATCACATGACCCATTAGGTCATAAATGAAAAAAAAATAAAATAAAAGAAATAAAAAGAAATGAATAAAAAGAAAAGAAAAAAAAATATATATATATATATATATATATAAAAAATAAAATAAAATAAAATATAATAGATAATAAAAAATAAATTTAAATTAATAAAAAATTACAATTTAAAAAAAAAAATTAAAAACTTTAAAAAAGGAGAAACCATGTGAGACATCTCATTGTGCGTGGTGTGCCAGCAAGATGTTGACACTTTTTAATGTTCAAACTGAAAAAAACATGTACATGCGTCAGCAAAATTGAAGTCCTACTTCGGCTTTAACTAACCAAGATATAGTTCACGCTCAATAGAAATCGATCAACCCGATACGAAGGGGCTCTGGTTGTTCTTTTCAGGCCTGGAGTGTCATTTCAACATTGACCTAATTTTCATGGTTGCCACTAGAGGAAAAAAAAAAAGTGCTTTCACAGAGTAGTGAAGCTCCTGAGGTGGTGTTGGGGGTTTATGCATGCTATAAGCCCCCCCACAGGCTGTGCTGAGGTTGTGTTTAGTCGCAGCATTCTGCAACCCCATGCAGAAGGGGCTGGGATTTACAAAAAGAAAGGTGCCATTACCTTGCCAATTACCATAGGCACCAAATGATCAAAAGGACTCTATTTTTATATTTACGGATTCAAAAAGAATAAGTGCTTTTTGGAGAAAACAAAATCAAACTATTGAAAGCAATTATTTTGTCAACACAGGAAAAGGTTTTTCACACATGATGCTGAGCTTTTTTTTCTTTCTTTTTTTTGCCATACCATCAAATGACACCTTTGGAGCCCTGATCTAAAATCAGTCATTCCTGTAATGGAGCGGTCAGTTAAGTTACAAAGTAAATAGTGTCGCAATTACATAGAAATCAATGAAAAGCCACAAATACATGTTCTTTTTTTTTGTTGCACAAAGCAAGTGGACACAAACACTTACGGGTACAAGTTAAAAAATCTATCACCTTAAATCAATGATTCAAGTGACACTTTAGCTAATAGATATTCGATCTAGCTCAATCTTGTTAAATCAGCCGTTCGTTTGAAAAAGATAAAAGGTTAAAATAACGTGATCCATTTCAGGTCTGACACGGCAAAGAATAGAATTGCACAAATATCTTCACGGACGTATTATGGATGTTTTTAAATTCTTCTCATGTTTTTTTTTAAAAAGGGTCCAAAATATTTAAAAGGGTTCATACAAAGAGAGTAAATAAGTGATTTTAGCAAACTTATATTAGAATAATGCTCTTACTTTCTTCAAATTAATGTCAACATTATTTATTTTCAACAAATATATATATATATGTGTGTGTGTGTGTGTGTGTGTGTGTCAGTAGCAATATTATAGTAGGATTGTCAGCAGCCATGGAGCAGTCAGAAAATAAATTCAAATGTGTTTTATTTATGAGAATCTCCTGAAGCAAACAGAGATTTGATTCTGGTTGTGATTCTCTGCCCTTTAGATTGTCGCCCAGACAGGAGCAGTTTTGTCAGTCAAGGCATGCAGACCATTTTTATGCTCTTGTTTTTTTTTTTTCCGGATATGTCAAGCTGTTAACATTCCGGTACGATTTCTTAATGCATTCAAGAGCTTTGGAAGGTGACACAGCTTTATTTTATCTTATTTTTTCCACACAGCAGTGAGCATGGACCATGTGTTTTTGCCGTTTCTTTCAATACAATGAGGTTTTTGGGTAATTCCGAGTTAACTTTAGAATGAAGGTGTGTTGGCATTAAGGTGTTTTAAGAGTTGAACCATGTAGCCATGACACCTGGAGTTAAAAGGAACATATTGTGTCTTAAACATTGTTCCGGTGCTTTTTCTTTAGGCCTCCCAGGTGTTGAACATTCGCTTTACTGAGGCATTCGTGTGTAGCTAGTTGTGCTAATGGCGCATGTCTGTAACATGGAAGTGGAAAAGCAGCAGACTCTGGCCCAGACTGTTGTGTCTGAGCTCTTCCACAAACAGACTTCACAACTCTTTTTGCCCCCCCCCCGGCTACAAAACGACAAAACCCTTCACTGGGTGCCCAGGGAGGATCACGATTTCAGCCATAGTCACATGTCTTATCAAATCAAAACTGTTTGCAGATGAACACGGTTCACATTTTAGAGCTAGTCTTCTATCTATCTATCTATCTATCTATCTATCTATCTATCTATCTATCTATCTATCTATCTATCTATCTATCTATCTATCTATCTATCTATCTATCTATCTAT